GATAACTTTGAACTAAACAGATTTTCTATTAGCTTCAGATCTTGATCAAAGTTTGGCACCCAGTTCATAGGAGTGCTTATATTGATTTTCTGACATCTTGTTTTCTGTAAAGATTTTATTGGTAGGTTTGCAAATGTGTATCAGACTGTGCAATCTCTCCATGAGTTGGTTTTGAAACCCAGTATGGGATTCTAAGATACATTACCAAGGATATTATTACAAGATAAATCATTTGCTTCATTGAACGCATACAACAATGCATATTTCCACTGAGATTAGTGACCTTTGATGTGTATCACCAGTGATCAGTCAAGTAGAAACAGTCAAAATATTTTATCAGATTTTCTCAATTTTTGCATGATATTTTCATACAGGACATCTGTTGTTCAAACTCAGGGAAGACTTTATACTGATGAATAAGGTGACCAAGTTTGATGAAGTTTGGAATAGAATTAGTAAAGTTATTATGCACACAATAACAATTATTAACGACGACGACAACGACAACGCCGGACAAATTTTTTCCCTTAATATACCTTTCCCTTCCATCTTTGATGGTACGGGCAAGGTAAAAAGACGAATGAGACGGTGATAAGATATATTTGATACGATATTAAAGAGGCACTGCACGTGGTGAAATGTAATTCAAGAAAGTTACTCAGGGCTTTCATTAAGTTTAAGAGTAGAAGGTAAATGTAATATAGTAGGAGGACACAAAAGGAAATTTATTTTTTCCGCATTGCACTACGGACAGGGAGGGAGGGTTCTTTTTAGCAAAAATGTCAATATTTGTGATGGTTAGATCAATTTTTAAGCTATGAATACATGGCTTTTGCTTCTCCAAACTGATCTGTTCATTCATAATGGACCCTTTTCAGAGAATATTAATGTGACAGTGAATACTGATAATATTATATTAAAATACACGCATACCAGTTCGCTATCACACAATATAAGCAGAAAACATTAATTACAATTAACATAATCATTTTAATATAAGTTATTTCAACCATACATGTATGTAAAATCAGATTAACCGGTATTTCCACGACCTTGTGCTCATTTGAAATAAGCATCACAGTCAGAGTCAGAGTCAAGTTCATCATCTGCCCCATAGGCATCATCTTCAGACAGACTGAGATCCAACTCCTTCAAAGCTCTCTGAGTTTCACATCTAATTTCATTAAGTACATCTACATGTACAGGATTCAGATTGCTAACTTCATGCTGACTTGGACTACTAGCTGCAACATGAATACAAAGATTGTAAATATGCTAACCAATTGATGATCCAATTTCAATCAAGCAATTATTTAATTAAACTTTAGATTAGAATAATACTTATAATACTTGGTGTGGATGACACTAACAATAACTTTCTATTTATTGTAGAGTAATTATAAATGTATAAATATTATACCACACATGGTAATGCAGCACTGGAAACATTACAATATAGAATATAATGATAAATTTATTTGACATAAATTATAAATATCAGACCCCCCCCAAAAATAATAAGTACAAATACTTTACCAACACCAATACACCTAACACAATTTAGTTACAACTTACCCACTTCAAGTATTCAATCTCTCAACTTTGATTACATCTAGAAATTAAATTATTAGCGGTAAATGATTAGCGGTAATATAAATCAAAATTGTTATTATTTATATGGCGCCGCTAACAGTGTGACATTGGCGACAAAATATAAATTAAAAGTAGAGTGTAAGTTGTTACGGCCGATGGACGCCGATCACAGCAATTACGTAGCTACGTAAAACACCGGCGTACTAATCAGTAATTGACTTCAAAACAATAAAAATACAAGTGGCTTCCTATTATTTTCTGACAAATGTGATCGAACTCTGACTGTAACAATGTAACTACTTACCCTTGATCCGCTTAAATCCCGAATCCAAAAGGGACTTCTAATTTCCGGGACGTGACAAAGCAAACTTTTTTCTTTTGTCCGCCATTTTGATTTACCGTGGTAGTGCTTTGTAAATAGTACGCGAGTTTTGATTGGCCGATATTACGAGGCTGACCGGGAAAGAACCAATAGGACTGCTCGTTTCGAACAATGCTCGTTATGGCTTGCACAAAAGGTCGCCAGAGGTCAAACTGCGTAAATTTTATGATCACATTGCGTACGTAATTTGTTATATCTGGGGAAGCCTCAGAACGCATGTTTTAGTTCTATGGGACATGATTTTATGGGTTTCATCTTCAAAGGAAAAATAAACATTTTGTTTTGATTTTAATAAAATATTTAATAATAAAGTAGCCGGCAAACCGGCAGCAAGTAGGCGGACACTTTGGCCGGTTGCCGGCTGTTAGTGAAAGCCCTGGTTACTGATAGGATATTTAAAAAGATCTTTGCACTGCTGGTTGGTCTCTTCATGGTTATACAAAATTGAATTTGAAACATGAGACTTTTGTGTTGTTGGTTGTGCATGTGGTAGAAGTTGTAATGAGGTTTAATATTCCCTCAGTTTACACCAAATAGGAAGACTGTATTAGATGCATACATGTATCTACAATAAATGTGCCAAAAACTGACTTTCGTCTATCTGCACAACGCACCAACATAAAACAAGTCTAGCAAATTATTTTCATATCAATTTGCTTCTCATAGGAACAAATGCCAACAAATACAAAAGACAATTACTTTGGCTATTTATAATAGTGCATCAACACATGCATTCGGTAAACTGAACAAACTAATTCCGGTCAAACAGTCTCTGCGCACAAAACATAAACAACTTTGTCCTCAAAAAAGAACAATTAAAATAGAAGCATGGTGTATGAGAAGTGGACACAGCTACAAGACTGTTAACAATAATTTTGCTGATGATAATCAAACCGTGACTCGCAAGATTTTGAACAGAAGTCTCGAGCAAGTAGGAGGCCAAATAGACCATTTTCCGTTTACTGCGAGAATCACACGTTGTGCGTGTAATCGAACGTAAAAACAGGACAAACAAAGGTCATAACGTCGTAGTGGCGTCAAACATCGCGTGGGATTCAACAAACGCGAAAATATTTTGGGGGCATTTCCATGCTTAATAATGTGCTGTCCACATTTGATGATAGGCAATTTCAATTAAGTCAGGGTATTCAAAAGCAATATTCCTCTGTCGAAGATCGGCCGGTCGATGTGAGCTACGAAATAAAGAAATTTGAGTTCAAAATCAAATCATTCGATTTTTGCGGCAGACGTTCGACACGCGTCTTTCATGCATCTCGCGAGATCTCGCAGTTGAACGGGAAATCACCAAGTAGGATTCTACTCGCACAGTAATTAATTAAATTGGTGGCCAGTGAGCCATAACAAGTGTAAAAGGCTAATAAGCATGCAACCACCTTCACAAGAAACCCTGGATTATGCTGATAGAATGCACGCACACATGCGCACACACAGACAGACAATACTAGTTATCACCTGATAATCACACCCTACTTACGTTGATTTCCTCATTTCTTCTTCTGCAAGGGTCATCTTGTCCTTGGTAGCTTGGTACACCTCGTCTGTGGCCAGTATCTGTAGTTTTTTCTGCACCGTTCCCTGCTGTTCCAAATGGGGTGCACCATTTCTATAAAACATGACAAATTATAATATAAATTATGTATAAATCGTATAATCATCAATGCAATTATTAAATAACTAGAAAATTGTATATGTGGTATTACATCTCCAAAAAATCCATCCACTCTCTGCTGAATTTATATTGAGAGAGTTACAGTTCAATAGCCAACTGTGCAGCCTATCCAGGGACTCCGCATAAGATTTACACTAATGCCATAATCTGACAGGCATAACAGTTACTATGGACTGTTAGCACTTTAATTAAGTAATTATTAACTAAAATAAATTAATTATTAAATAGAGCATTAATTGTAATAAATAAAAGCTGCGAGACAGAACTGAATTGACATGCATTCAAGTGAAACCAGGTCCACATCATCAGATGTACAAGTTTTCTGACTATATGATAGTTTGTGGTTCTGCCAAAATGCTTTATTGGCATCCGAGCAAGTATGTCCTCTTCATGCTTCTCTTCATGCTGGCACATATTTAAGGGTTATTATTTAAATAAACATGTTTACACAAAATTTAGAAAAGATGAAATCATTAAAACACTACTGTTGGATTAAAAGAAACATTAAAAAAGAAAATTACATAATGGATCCTTATGATCATCATGGTATCTCCCTTGTCTTTAAAACTAGGTCAAACTCTTTAGATCTTGAAGGTAACAAAATGGGATGGAAAAATTACAGGGGTAATGGAATTTGTGGAGTCTGCAATCAGGGCAAAGAAGACATTTACCACTTTCTTTATCTTTGTACGTCATCTAATCATATTAGAAAGGAATTTTATTCAGCATTAGAAACCTCACTGAGAAACAATGTTGAATCTTCATCACTAATGAATAGTTTTCTTTCAGGGGGGTTGAATTATAGGTTCAATTTCCTTTTTGGTGATACACTATGGAACATAAATGAAAATGTGGGAAATACCTCATCAGCTTTAATTAGGAAATATGTAACTGATTTATGGCAATATAGAAAAGAAATGATGAATGTAATTTAAATATATGTATTACTGTTTTCATGCTGCCGATACAAAGGTTGAATAAACATTATTTATTATTATTATTTTACAAAGGCTGCTGCTATGTATATCCCTACCAAGATAAGTTGTACATTGAGGTAACTCCCATTGCAGTTTCTATTAATCAATCTCAAAGCAACTTCTGTGAAAATTATCAATACATGATAACATCAAGAATTTCTAATATTGTCCATACTGAGAGATGTACACACATGTACATGTGAATTGCTGCATCTACTTTGTTGGTTTTGTGACGTAGAAACTGCAATGATCACACTAAAGTACATTCAAAACAGTTCCTCTTCCATGATTTTTTGTTATAGTTTTACAGAGATGATCATGTACATGTGTTAATCTGCAAAAATGAAAACACTTTCTCAAAATCAGACTATATCAAAGTTTCTTAACCCTTTGCACACCAGAATTGTTCCTTGCACAATTTGGTTATTTATTAATTCAGAAGTAAATACATGTTGATCAACATTTATGAAAAGATATTGTTTTTTGAAAGGTTGACTTCTTTGGCGTTCAAAAAGCAATGGTAGTTTTGGTTTCATCATTATCAACAACATATAGACAATGGTGCTAATACTGTTGAGTTGATTCAACTTCTGATTATTATCTTTAAGTAGAGCTCAACAATTAGCGTACACAATGTCCAGAATACGACAATGAAATTTATTTTATAATTATTAAAATAGGAAAGATTAAACCGAAAAGATACATGTACGTTGTACACAGACTAGAAATAATCAGAAGGCATACACTATTTTTTTCAAGGATGCACTAGCATGACATGAAAAATGCACCACTATAAAACAAGCAAGCCTGAGTAGGTGTGTAATCAAGTGAATCGTTATGACCACGTTGGGAATTATCAGGGACAGGGAAAAATGGAACGATACCATGTACGCAAACTGGGATGAAGTTGACTGAAACACTAGATATCACTAGATAATATAGTATGTCTGGGTTGTATGACGCAATATAATCTTTACTACTATAGTATTTTATTCCCCTCAGGAGAACTGGCATTTCCAGAGAGAAAAAGCTAAACGAATGACTCAATCGAAGGTGATTAGCATCTTTGACATTTACACAAAAGTTGTAACATTTGTTTAGAATGGTACGAATAATGAGCAAGAGTTGATGATAAGCGTACAAAAAAAAAAAAAAAAAACATTTTGGAAGAGTACATACTCTTACTCTTAACATTGACAGGAAAAGTATTGTACCATGTTTCAATTTCTCTCAGAAACAAATCTTCGTGAGTCAGTAAAAAACATGACATTTTGTAGCAGCAAGTGTCAGCCATTTTCGTAAAATTTTGTCTTTATGAATGGCCTAAAATTATCAAATCGTTGAAATTAAACAGTTTAGAGAATCATGTTTAAGAAGCTTATCGTGCTGCGTCAATTGTTGCTTTTCACCACGTTCAATAAGTGTACCATGTGACATAAATCATTAATAAATGATATATTGTTTCAGTTTTTTACAATTTTTCTCTTTCCACCTTACCTGTTTTTACATTGCTGTACACATTCATAACTTCCCCTCTCATTGACAGGAGTCATAGAAAAATTAAATACTCTTTCTCCATTTAAACTATCGGAAGACTTTCGAACTGGTAACGATATTACCTGCAAACAGAGTAGAGAAACACTCATTCAAATTTTGATAAGAAAGCCAACATCTTTTATCAGAGATGGGACCTTCTTGTCAGAAGTGTTCCATTTTCAAAGTAAATTGATACTACCAATGTCAGTCCATATTTACTGTATCTGAAATGCATCGACAATAGAAGGATATGCAAATTAAAATTGCATTTGTATGCTGGATTATGTCCAGAATGGAAAGCTTTGTGAAAATAATGGGAAATAATATGGCTTTGTCATATTATTTTAAAAATACATTTTCTAAAAGTTAAATACGTAACTGTGGTCTGGGAGAACCTTGCTGCTGTTTAATCAATTTTTCAGAGATTTATTAAGTTATTATTATTATTATTAAAATATTACTTATTTTTGAACTCAGACACTAAATGTACATACATGTATGACTGTTAGGACAACAAATACAATTGGTAGATGTAAATAATAGTCCTGTATATAACAAAGAACAGATGTTTTGAGTAATACAAACCTTCATGAATTAAAGCTCTTTTTATTGTTCTACTAACTATTCAGATAAAATTGACAGAAGGTCATTGCCCAAAACATCTGTTTTTGTGGAATACTACAATTTGTACTCTATCTTTTTGAATGTATATTTGTTGGCAAATATTATGATCAAATTTCAGCATTATCTTTTTTTTTTAAATATTCAAAATTTTGAGGAGAAAAAATTCTGAGCAAAATAATTGTAAAAGTCCAGTGTCTTGCACCACCTGAGTTTCTTTTTTTTAAGGTAGGCATCAACAATAGCGTCTGCTGTGAAGGTCGGTCTTTAAGAATAAAATAAAACTGTGACTGGCCCCTGATTTCTTTTATATTCATACTTATTTTTTTTTATAAAATGTGAATTTTATTTTACCAAATTAAAATTTTTTTTTTTTATTTTAAATAATTATATCAATGTATGATTTCCTGTTGCATCAATGTTGTGCTAGCAAATTAGCATATTGTAGTTGTATCACAGAAAATCTTCATGTATCAGTGGCATGTCGTATCAGCTTCGAGGGCACAGTCTTAAAAACCCTGGCATGAAAATTTTGAATGCTGCTAAGGCTGATAAGCAATTCAGTTAATATATTCAGGATCTAATTGACTTACAACACAATATGTGAAGAAAATCAGGTATTCCAGCGATCAGACCATGTAAACCAGACAGGAATAAAACATACTGCCTTGTATACATTTGACCCAAATTTAGGAACTGATGGTTTGACAGAGTTAATAATTAACAAGCCATGCACGGAACAGTCCCTGTTAGTTATCAAATTTAAGATATATAGTTTTGTTTAAAGTAATATAGCTGGAATATAACCATGTCAGGAATATGAATATGTCAAAATCATTGACATTTGTATCTGATCGTCAAACAAGTACTTGTCCATATTGAGAGATATTACTCTAGAACAGCATTCAAAATCAACCATTTTGAATACATGTATATATATAACATGATGTATAACGAATATATAAAATTTGAATATAATCAGTCAAAGCATTTAAGATATATGGCTCTAGAAGCCCAATCATTAAAACAAAATGGCCGCCAGTTAGCCATTTTTATTCCAATCTGAAAAATAAAATGACGTGCATCAGGAACCCGTAATGTCTAATGTATGTACCAAGTTTGAATGAAATCCATCCATAAATGCCAGAAATGCTTGATATATTTGATGATTTTTTAGCACAAAAATCACCATTCGGCCATTTTGAATAGGATCGTCGAACCAATATATCTGTTTATCTATGACATGATGTATAATGAATATTTAAAATTTGAAAATATTATCAGTCAAAACAAGTCGGAGATATAAGTCTAGAAGCCCATTCATTAAAACACAGTGGCCGCAAGACAGCCATTTTGAATCCGATCTGAAAAATAAATGATGTGCATCAGGAACCTGTAATGTCTAATATATGTACCAAGTTTGAACGAAATCCATCCATAAATGCTAGAAATGCTTGATGTTGCTGATTTTTAGCAAAAAAATGGCCGCCATTCAGCCATCTTGAATCAGATCTTGAAACAAATTGACATGCGTATGTATAATATCATGTATGATGTATGTGTGAAGTTTGATTGTGATTGGTCCAGGCATTTCTAAGATACAGGTTCGGACGCACGCACACACGCACGCACGCAGGGAAGTCAAAACCTAACCTGCGTCCGAACGGGGACTAATTACCTTATTAATCAGACTAAAGCTCTTGCATTTTGATAACATTAATGTTATTATTGCTACATATCCTGGACAACAACATATGTACAATTAAAAATGCCTGTACTATGCAATATTTAACAATGGCTAATACTACATTAACTTTGTTAATCACATATAACCTAGCAATCAATTCGATGATTTACTGCTATATAAGAACTACCTTTATCACTATACAGTCCTTTCACATCAGGAGAGGTTTACAATGTTACAGAATAAAAAACAACTCATTAGGGCAATAAACCCAGACATCTGGTACAGGATCCATTGCTTGCTCACGTGCTGATATACCATAAAGATAGATCAACACAGCGCAATGGAAATAAAAATCTGCTTAGCATACAGTTTTCACGCCACACGTGTCAAACATGAGTCTGTATTATCTGTGGTCATCAGGAGTACACAAGACAATTATTCAATTTCCTTAAAATTTTTGTCTTTCTGCATCCAATGTCGCCATTAAAATCTGGTAAACATTTACCATATTGTTGTTTCATCCGAGTTCATTGAAAAGTGAACCACTAAATATCTGGCAGGTTGAAAGCTTAAGAAAGAAATCCCAATGTCCAATGTTTTCGCAAAACAGTTTTTTGTTAGTCAGCAAAAATCCAGTATGATTGTTAGAAAAACAAGTCATTGTCAATGACACGTCCCCGTTCCGTTCATATTTGAGTGACATATACATTCAAAGCAGATCATGACCGAAATGCACCTGCATATGTACAACACATTGTGCTAAATCTGAACAAAATCCATCCATGCATGACTGAGATCCGGTTCTGGAATTGTGAAAATACGTGATTTTGATGCATTTTCGGCCTTAAAATGGCCATCATTCCACTATTGTTAAGCAGATCATGAAACAAATGCACATATCTATTTGTGACATGATGTACCATGTGTGTGTGAAGTTTGAACTTGATCAATCCAGACATGTCTTGGATACGGATCCAGAACTGAATTCTTTAACAAAATGGCCGCCAGTCGGCCATTTCGAACTTGATCCGAAAAAAAAAGACGTGCATCAAGGTCCTATTATGTTTAATGTATGTACCAAATTTGAACAAAATCCATCCATGCATAACTGAGATACGGGTCCGGAATGGTGAACATGTGCGATTTCAATGCATTTTCGGCCTTAAAGCGGCCCCCATTTGGCTATCGTTAATGAGATCATGAAACAAATGCACATACATATTTGTGACATGATGTACCTTGTGTGTGTGAAGTTTGAACTTGATCAATCCAGACATGTCT